CCCACAGGAGTTACGTCCGGTGACTCTGCGCGTAACCCGGAATCCATCCCTTGGTCGAGGCGACCACTAGCTGTGCAAATATAATTAGTCAGTCGGACCACAATAATCCTAAGGAACTGTAATAAAACTAAACATTTGTATTTTACCGTCAGGACCTTCAAAATTAAAATATACAATTAATCGTATTAAATATCGTATTAAAATATATTTAAGTCGAGACGTTCCTTATGGTTATTGCTCCATCAGTGAAGAAACGTGGGTTTTCCCATTTTTCGCGAGATTTCTACCCGGAAGTGACCAGTGAAGGGACGAACAACATCCAGCAACAGGTTTTCTCTGCGTCAGCATCGTTACCGAATTTCGCTGGTTTTCCATCTTTAGATCAATCAACATCCCTTGACTGGTTTTTCATGCATTAACCAGTCAACGTCATGGCTGGTTTATCAGCATTAGATCAGTCACCTGTTTAACCTATATCTATACACTCCGAGCGTAACTGTCTATGTCCACAAACTTGTCGAATAAGGTGTATATTGTGATCTGTTACTTCAGTGTTATAATCAGTTCCACCACCTCTATTATCCTAAACGAAATATCGGATCGATTATTTCGTGGCGTCGATTATATAATCGTAACGGGAATGCACGATTCCCGTTAGCGTACTTCCTCGCGATCAAGTCTCTCTGCGAACGATCGTATTTTGTTAGAAAAAACAAGAAAAAAAAACAAACTAGAAATAAATACAGAAAATATATTCTATGCATGTTTTAGGAAAATTTGGAAATTATGAGGTGATATGATAACGTTTAAGTATGGTTAAATTTGTGTAAAAGCTTGAAATCGGTCAATCTAACCAACACTGGTAGGTTTAGTGTTAAATGTGACAAAGAGTCTTTCTTTTACAATTTCTAACAACGAATGATTATGATGATTATACAGATTATTTATGTATGATAACATTGAGCATGAAGCTGTATATGTTAAATATTTATCATTTAACATGTATGATTCTGATTTTATAATCTGATAAAGGAGTTTGAGTACGTATAACTACATTTCTGCAAATATAGACCTGGTTCTAAAATACAGATTTATCAACCAATATTTCGCGATTAATGGTTTTACAAATTTAGAAGTGTAAATACAATTGATACCTTCTTCGTATTTATTGAACATAATTGTAAATACTTTTAACTGACACGGTTAATTTGGACGAATAATGTCGGCCCGAAACAATGCAGAAGAAAATTGTGTTCAAGAACATATAAAGGAGATATAGATACAGTGATATATAGTATGATGTAGGCAGAATATAGACAGATATGGGTGTTGAGATAAGAAGAACGTTATATACATTTTTCAAAATAAAATTACATTTTTCGATGCATTGATTGATGTAGTTCCTTATAAAGAAATATTAGCCGTACTACTTTCTTTTAAACAGATATAAATATTTTAGAGACATATGTTAACGAGTACCTGTATCAACATTTCGGTTAATGATGTAGTCCAACGCTACTGCTTATTTAATAGCGTATATTCAGTAAATCGTAAATCTACGAAATAATAGTTCTTAGTTTCTTTTGACTTTTACTTTCTTTAAGGTACTTCAAAATCATATACATCGTAGAGGTCGCCATTCTTACTAATTACATTTAGTGAATTACTTACAATTACATGTTCCTTTTCGTTTAATAAGACAAATTACAAAGAATGCGAGAAAGAAGGAAGAGAAAAAGAAGCCCATTTGTGTGAATGTATACGTTTCTATATCATATAATTTTATCAATATAAATTTAGTTCCAATTCAAGTTTTGCACTGATTAGTCGTGTATCTACCGGATTTGGTAGGTACTCGCACTGATAAATATCCGCTGATCTACAGAATGGGATACACAAATCGGGGCACCTAAATAACTTCGTTATTAATATTATGAAAAGAACTACGCAGGGCAAGGATATACTATTTGGTAGATAATGTTTTTGCTAGAAGACATTTTATAAATATTATATTAAGGTCACCATCATTTATTTGTGCGATAATATACTTGTTTTATACATTCATCGATCCATCTCTATATTCCCAATAAACATTTAATTTAACAATTATTTAAACTCTAATTCGCCAAATTCAAAGTATAATGTTGAAAGAGAACGTAAATACAAGAATAACATTGCGCGTCTTTCCTTGTCTTCCATACATAGTAGAATCTTGATTATTGGAACTAATAATGATAAATGTGTTTGAATTATAGAAAACAGCTTTTTCTGTACATCAAACCAAATGCTACAAGGAAACAATTGAACGCTACATAAAATCATACGGGTTCCACAATTACTTATCGCTAAATCATATTATATTTCTTAACGCATTTTTTAATATACGCGTTTTAATAAAAGCAATTCCACCGAGTTACTTTCATTTTGTGTCTCAAACCACGTTAGCTCCTTTTTGAGAGCTTCGCACGAGAAGGTCCAGCTTCATCGTCGATATTATCTATGTTCACTGGATTGTCTTTAAATTCTTGAAGAACTTCTTCGGCACATTTCTTCTGGATTATATTATATTGGTTCTCAATAGAAAACCAGTTAAACACATCTATTTCTTCGCACTCTTTGCATCCAGGTAAATCTATCAGCATTCCAAGTACTTCGTTTATGTCAGCTTCCCATTTTTCTGTGACTTCTATTCTCTGCACATTTCGCACCGTCAAAAGACTGTCCCACGAGTTTTGCATCGTCGACACTCAACCAAGCATCATGTACAATGCGACAGCAATCCCACATGGATATTTGTTTATGTACGTCTATCATATCTTCCTCCGTGCCGCCAACAGTTATTGGCATCGTTGTTTTCAGTAATTCGATTCGGTACTTTCGCTTGAAACATGATATTATACCACGATTCATTGGTTGACGGAGTGGTGATACGTTAACTGGAAGACACATAACTGTAACGGAACGATATAAATCGTGAAGATCATTGAGATTGTGAAGTGACATAGCATTATCGAGTAACAACAAATATTGCTCCCTGGGAGCGTTCTCCCGTTGTCTTTCTTTGACTGATTCTAAAAAAGGTCTTCGTACCATTCCTTGAAAATGGTACTGTCCATGCAAGCATTTTCTTTTGATTTGTCGATAGTCGAGAATGCTTCTGCATCGTAATTGTATAAAGCATGAACATCCGGTTCGGTACCAATTAGTAGTACCGGCAACTTGCGATATCCGGTAGCATTTCCACAAAAAAGTGCAGTAACGTAATCTTCTCACATTTCCAGGTTTCCTGTCGATTTCGCACGGTCTATAATACGAGTCCTTTCTGGTACTATTTTCCACATTATTGTTGTGTAAACGAGATTGTAAACGTTCTTCAATGCGATCTGACGTTCATGCAGTAATCTGTTAAAATCAACTGCAAAGACTTCCGCTGCAACGGTTTCAGTTTTGACTGGAACAGTTTCCTTGACATCCGCATTAATAATACTGTATCGTTCTTTAAAGCCTAGGAACCAAGCGCGACCAGCTCTAAAACTAAGAGATCCCTGTAACTTCATATTAATTTCTAGAGCTCTTCTCTGTATGTCTGCTCCTGTCATTTGTTCGTTTCTTTCCTTACATCGTAAGTACCATTGGTGAACAATTCTATCTACATCAACTGTACGTCGTGTTAAACGTTTTTGGTAACTGCTAACTTCCATACTGCTTTCGAATTGTTTCTTAATCCTTTCGCTTTGTGCGTATATACGGAACAAGGTGGTTTGTGAAATAGCGTACTTTTCCATTGCGGATTGTCTAGATTCACATTTTTTTCTCATCTCAAGGATATCGTATTTTTCGGCAATTGTAAAATGTATCGGTTTTCGTTTTGACGTCATTATTGTTTGAAACGTTTCGACTGTAAATACCGCACTGCAATGTTGAGACGAGATTTTATTTCGACAGTTGTTGTCGTCGACAATTTTGATAGGGGGAAATAAATACTATGTGTATTAAACATGTATATAGGTATATAGGTATATAGGTATATACGTATATACGTATATGAAATACACAATAGAGAATTATACAATATTCTGATGATAGAACGTTCGGATGATGTATGTACGTAATGCATAGTCGAAGTTACGCTGTATATGAAAATAACAAATAATATTCGACCGAGAGGTGACATTAAGCAGGCAGCACGAAAATAAGAATTTAATATGAGAGTATTATGAGAATAAGAACAATTTTAATGCAAACAGTTTATAAATCAATGGTTTTCTCTAACTGAATTTATACTTCTGTCCATCCTATAAACGGTAAACTTTTTAAGAAGACTAAAAATTCATGGATTCTACGAATATTACAAACGTTCTTTTTATGGATTTATTCTTCGAACATTTTTACGTAATTTTGAAAAGGAAAAAATAATAATTTTAACTACGAAGATAAAAGACTTAAAAATGAATTGCAATTTTGTCATCGTGCTTTATTGTTAATATCGATTAATACGAAAACAGAGTCTTTTTCTGTAGAAAATTCAACGTAGAACGTATCTATGAAATATGAATTCGTCGAACAAATAGTTTCGTACTCTCCACATAAAATGATTACTACTAGTTTTAGATTGACTCATTTTAGACGTTTTGGTCCATCTTCTTCTCGTGGACAGTTCCGTCCGAGCAGCCGAGCTAAACGGACGTGTAAAACTGCTTCGCCGAAAGTGCGGCAAGTGGCGAAAAGGAAGTTACGAACGTCAACGCTCATCGCCAAATGGTGGAAATCCGTTTCGCTGGAGGCATCGAGAAGGTTCCAATCGTCGTTGCTAGGGAGTTTCTGTCAAAAGTTTGTTGTATACTCTTTGGAAGCATCGAGAAAGATCCAAACGCCGTTACTAGGTAGTTTCTGTCTGGAGATTGATTCCTAATACAACGTGTGTCCCATTATATCGACATCTCTAAAGTACAATTCTATGTGATTTCTAGGGAGAACAATACAACCGATCCACACCTTCGTCAGGCAACCGTGTGACATCCGGTAGCATTTGCACAAAAAAGTGCAGTAACGTAATCTTCGCACATTTCCAGGTTTCCTGTCGACTTTGCACGATTAAAAATACAAGAATTTTCTGATACTGCTTTCCACATTACCGTTGTGTAAACGGCATTGTAAACGTTCCTCAATGTGAACCCACCTTCTTGCAGGAATCTGTTGAAATCAGCTTTAAAGGCTTCCGCTGCAGTGATTTCATTTGCGGCTTGAATATTTTGCCTTATATCCGCAGTAGTAATATTGTAACGTTCCTTAAAGCCTCGCAACCAAGTAATACTGGCTTTAAAACGAGGGTGTCCGTTTAATTTTTCATTAATTTCTAGAGCTTCTCTCTGTATGTCTGCTCCTGTCATTTGTACCTTTCTTTCCTTACATCGTAAGTACCATTGGTAAACAACTTTATCTACATCCTGTAAACGTCGCCGTGTGAGACCCATGATGAGCCCGTATTGTTTTGTAATCTCTTCGCTTTTTACATATATAGTGTTCAATGTAGAGAGTGCAACACCGTACTTTTCCATTATGGTTTGTCGAATTTCACCTCTATCTCTCATCATAAGAATATTGTATTTATCAGTAATTGTCAAATATAACGGTATTCGTCTTGACGTCATTATTGTTTGAAACGTTTCGAATGCAAATACGGTACTGAAACGTTGAGACGAGATTTTATTTCGACAGTTGTTGCCGTTGACAATTTTGACGGGGGAAATAAATACTACGTGTATCCAACATGTATATAGGTATATAGGTATGTCGGGTTATCATTAGAATTTAAGGCGCGTAACGATTCTTCGTTTGAATTAGCCATTGTTTTACGAAACAGAGATTATATTTACGCGAATATACATGATGTTACAAAATATTATGAATAATGAGTTTAATAAATGATAAGATTAACAAACGATAAGTTTAACTAATGATTAGATTAAAGAATAATAAGTTTAACGAATAATAAGAGGAACGAATAATATGTCTTACGAATAATAAATTTAACGAATAATGAGATTAACGATTGATAGGTTTTACGAATAATAAATTTAATTAACGCTATTAACAATGTTCCGGGGTTCAAACGAATCCACGGTCAAAGGGATAACTCTTTACTATGCTTAGAATAATTTTAAACACAAAAATACGATTCCTGAGA